CCATTTGCAAAATGTCCACTAGACAAGCGGCATCAAGAACATTTTTTTCATTGCTGAATTAATGAATAACATGAAATCATTCAGGTAGCATCTCACCGGGTCTCCAGCCCATCAATGTACTCCTTCTTCTTCTTCCTGCTCTCCTGGGCCGACTGCTTGTTGCGAATCTTTCTACGTATTTTCTTCAGGACCCTCTCTTCATGCTGATCAACAGAGAAGAAACCATTCATATTGTGTAGCTTCTAAAATACAAAGCTGGCAGCTGTTGTGAGAGTTGAAGCACTTTACTTTGGTCAGAGGTAACTGGTTGGGCAGGGTCACCCCCTCCTTCGCTAGAAGCTTCTTCTCGTCTTCGTTGAGAATCAGCTCCTGGATGGACTTCTGCGACGGCTGCTGGGGCTGTCGGTGAGATATGAATACAAATGTTGAAAAATACAAATCACAGTTGTGGCTTGATTACATTTTCTGTCTGCGTCCACCGTCGGCGCCATCCATCCTTTTTGCTGGAGGCTCGCAGGAAGTAGTTTAATGAACGGAGACTATCAGGCCACATTCATCACCTTCATTTCATGGCTACTTCAAAGCAATTAGAGTGTGAGAATCTGAGCTGGATTCTGCCACTCTCTCCATCTTAAAGACGACATCAATACTGTGACGAAACAGAAAAAAATGCCAAGGTTTACATTATTCAGCTTGTGCTGGTCTCGAGTTTGTGATAACAAAATCTTCTTTGTGAAACACAGCATTATTGGTGTATTTAATGTGATGATGCTTTAAACCTTTTTTATTAATTTAAATTCATTAGTTTTGCAAAGTGTCCTTACTTTGACAAGGTCAAACTTAAAAAAAGAAAGAGGGTAGTGAATACCTCACGGGGAAGTTCAGGAAAAGGCTCTGCATCAACAGAATACTAATTATTATATTCTCAGTATTCGTCCTCCCAGAAAATATATTTGTTGCATATTCTGCAGCTTTTTCCAAATTTAGCAAACTTCTAGAGTGGGGAATTGAATTTGCATTCCAAAGGCCTTTCCATGGGACGATGTGTTGTTTCCACCAACGTGCACATTCACAATCGGGAACAAACAAAACCAGTGTCTCGCATTTGAATCAAGACAAGACATTGCTCCTCCTATCTCTCTCCCGACTCAACACAACACTTACCAGCTCCGGTGTACCAGACAGCAGCAGGTCTTTGACAGTCAGTGGGAAACCAGAGGACAGCTGAGGTCTGTGGACATCTGCAGGATATGGTGTTATCCTGGTCTTGGTCATTGGGAAGCCAAACTCCCAGCCACCTGCACACACACAGACATACACTTTTGTTCTTTTATCCTCATGAGGACTTTGCACTGACTTCCATTCATTTATCTGTCATTTCTATAGCCTAACCCTGACTATAAATCTAAATCTAACCACCCCAGTAACTGACCCTAGACCTAACCTAAACTCAATCACCTTAGTCCTAACCCTAACCCACCAATGGTATTTCTCCCAATGGGAACTGGGCTTTTGTCCCCATAAGGAACAGTGGGTCCTCATCAGGCTGTGTGTACAGGGAAAATGGTAAAAAAAAAATCGTCCCCACCAGGTAACAAAAACATGTACACACAGTAATAAAACATTCAAGCTTGCAAACAAGCAGACCCAAAGTTTTGGATCAATGAGCAAATAAAAGTACAAGAATATTGAACCTTGAATGCCAATTACTCAGTTTGTGTTTCATTAAATCAGTTGCAGATGAAACATTGCACATCTGTTAGTGAAGATGTTCCTACAGTGTTTGAATACCTGTATTGTTTTAACCTCTTAACAGTCTTTGTTCCACCAGTGGGCAAAACAGTTTGGTTTCTGTGGCTGTGTCAGAGTAGTTAGGGGAGTCGTTCTGCAACCGGAGGGTTGACAGCTTGATCCTCCATTCCAGCCGTCTCAGTCGTTGTGTCCTTGGGCAAGACACTTCACTTGTCTTGCCTACTGATGTAGTCAGAGGGTCCGGTGGTGCCGGTGCATGGCAGCCTTGCCTCTGTCAGTGTGCACCAGGGCAGCTGTGGCTACAGTGTAGCTTACCTGGGTGAATGACTGTAACTATAAAGTGCTTTGGGGATCCAACTGGGCTTGATAAAGTGCTATATTCTTTCAGACCATTTACCTTTTAAATGTTTTCAGACATTCCAGATGCTACCGGAGGCTGTTTTATTTAAAACCAGGGTGTCAGACGACTTCCTCTGGTTCTTACCTTTAGCATGGCACCTTTAAATAAAATAAAAAATGTCAAAAGGCTTTTAAGGAATTTCAGGCCAACTGTATGTTTAAGGAGCCTGTCTACTGAGCACAATTAAAATAACATCAAATCCAGCTCAATCTAAGATCTGATTTTCTACTTCTGAGGAAAATGGAATACAGTGATATTATAACTTTAAATTGCTGGTTGAAGAAAACTTTTGGGACATTTATGCATTTACTGGATACTGTTATTACTAATAATTAATCCTAATGTGTCTTACTGAGATCAGAGGAGACGTTGGCCTCCAGCGCTGCCTTGGTTTGTTGTCCTGGACCGAAGCAGGGGCCATCTGGAGGACTTTCAGGGCGCTGAGGACTATCCATCTGGTCTGATGGAGCACCATCACTTATCCCACTGTCGCTTGGAGACGGGGACCACAGAGGCGATGTGGATGCAGAATCCCCTCCACTCAGAAGGGCGTTGAGAAAGTCATCCCCTGCCTGCTCAGCTGGCGGCAGCATCTGTTGTGCGAAAATACTACGTGCTAACATCAGTTTGTATTTGTGAGGTCAGGACACAGTGAGAGGGGAGACACTGGTATATTTCTACAACAAATGAGAGGTGATTAGAGAGGCAATAATCTCACAAACATTTGGCTCCTGAAACGACCAGCTGTGATGGTTGCTGTGGGCTCCTGTGTCCTCGTGACGAAGAATCCCATCGTTTTTATCAAACAGCCAGTCAAGCAACTCCGTGCAGTCACAACCCTGAAGTGAAACATTGAAAAACAGCCGATCCTGACATATGTTTAGAGACAAAACAATGCTTGTGGACATTTTGCTTTACATTTGTTCAACAAATATAAATAATTTTCAGTAAACTGGGAGTTTTCATCGTCAATCGAAAACTGGTATTTTCCATACAATTTTAATTTTAAGACTCAGTTTGTCTTTGATTATCAAGCTTGAACTTTGCACTGTGAAACTTTCCAGTTTCCTCCTAAGTAACAATCAGAGTACAAAACACAAAACCTACCTGATCTGGGTAGAACTCCATGGTTTTCCTGTTTGGGTGAAGCCCCCCTCCAAGAAATGATGGGATCCAACCACAATATTCAATCTTTGTTCTTTTTTTGAGGTGAAACGTTTCTACCTTTCTAAAAACTCTCCAGTGTATTTCTCAGCTCCTCCGCTCGAGTCCAAAGTTGAAACTCCAACACAACACACCCAGCTGACTTGCTTACTTTGCCGTCATTGGATAAATTAAGAGATACCAGAAAATCTAATTGGCAACAAAGAGAAGACAGCCTCAACCCTGKCTGGTCTGTCTTCCATCAGAGAGCAAAGTCTAGTACTTCCCTTTTTTTTCACCCATTTTTTTTCTTCGATAGTGTATTGACTCAAGGATAGCTCTGACCTTTGGCATATATTCATAACAAAATAAACAGTTTTTTAAAGCCAGTTGACACCAGTCCCAGCAATGGTTTCCTAAYGTTTGTGAGCATTATTTTTATTTAACTTTAAAACATCAGCAATGGAATGCTTGTTGGATTATAACTAAATGAAAATATCTGCAGAGCTGAGGAAGAAGGAACAATTAACATAAAAATGTTGACATCTTTGTGCTTTTCAGAGGATATGAGGCTTTTGTTATCAAGTACGTAAATTCAATCTTTTTACTTGTTTGCAAATTGCATATAAAATATTCTTGATCATCAATGATCTCATATACATGTTGTGCTTCATGAAATGCTGTTTTTCATCAATACTACATACCACCGAAGGCAAAAGGGCAATAATTGTTTCCAAGTTTTCTCTTTCTGTCTGTGTGTTGTTTTTTTCTGTTGTGTTAGTAAAATATCTCATGAACCATTGGACAGGTTTTAATGAAATTTTCAGAAAGTGCATTTACAACTGATTATCTTTTAAAGTCAACCCAATTTAAGATGGCCACCCAGAGCCAGCTGACCTTAGTCAACGTAAAGATACCTCAGTCAAATGTACAGATATTGAGTTAAAATGCAACCAGAACTAATCTTTAACACATACTCTGTCAGGGGCAGAGCTAAACTGTTTTGCAAGATTGGTACAGGGCTGACCAAGGTGTTGGGTAGAGAGGCACATATAAATAAAGAAAACTACCCTGGATATGAAAATTCAAAATGGCTACCACAGCCAATTTAATTGGCTACAACTCAGACATATCAGCCGAAACTTGGTGTGTTGGTTGCTGAGAGCAATCCCTAATCAAAAATTCAAGATGGCCAGCTAACCTAAAAAGAAAAAAAATTCTATAAATCAGAATTTTTAGAGACATTAAGCTGACAGAGATGCCCAACAGATTCTAAATAAAAAAAGGCCAAGATCTTTAGCTCAACTGTTGGTTACTATTCAACAAATTCTAAACAAATAGAGCTGATATATTCTGGAATTGTCGCTTTATATGATTTTAGTGATTTAGAAAAGTTATTATGTTTTTCTTCGCACACTGGTCACATATTATCAATCATTTAAGGGGTGGCACCTGTCGGTGACCTGTCAGCTGACAGCCACCCCTCTGGCTTCACCCCTGTGCTGGGTGCTGACTCATTTTACCATAGTACTTAATACTGCATAAGATTGTAATTTACAAAACTTGGTCAAAACAGCTATGACTTTGTGATTTCTCATAATCAGTGGTTCTGGTAACAGTCTGAATAAACCTAACAATTCTGCACAGTTATTCACACTAACATTAGTTCTAATGTCTCGGCACAGCTGAACTGCAGCAGATCTTAGCCCTAAGTTTAGCTTTAACCACGCAGATTCCTTTAAATTATTTTACTTCTGTCGATTCTGGTCCTTCCAGCTTTAAGTGTTTTTTTCCTTTTTTACAGAAAAATGAACATTATCTTTACAGCTGTTAGCCATATGTAATGCTGTATTTCAAGCAAAAAATATTGCAAAAATGTTAAACCTTTCGCCACAAATATTTAGACCTAATTTTGACATGGGAGCGTACCACTGTTATAAAATCATATAACCCATGAAATAAAATACTGTTCCTTGAATATGTCATTATCACTACATTGTTTCTGAGTAATCATATGAATCACATCATATAAAGTTACTACCTACCCTTCACCTTAGCTCTAAGGCTGAGTCAGGTCACCCTACAGAAAAAGCTCTTTTTCATCTGCTTGTATCTGGGAGCAGCAGAACACACATTTAAGAAAATGCAAAAAAAAAAAAAAAAAAAACACTCTTCCTCAACACAATTTTGCAAACACAGCTGTCAAAAACTAAACCAAGTATTTGGAAGCTGCAATAAAAGAGGCTGCCGTGTTCTTACTGTGACGAGTTTTCATAAAATCAGCATTACGTAATCATTATTGCTTTTTTATCTGATGTGTGAAAGTTCCAAAGGGCAACAAACCCCCATAACTTTTGCTTTGACGTTTCAGGCAGCTTGGAAACTAAAAATTTATAAAGAGAATCTTTCAAAAAGCTCAAGACAAGCAAAACAAATAATAATAATAATAATAATAAATAAATAGCCTCTCCTTGGGCTGCTACCTTATC